GTTATTTAAAATATAAATTCTATCTATGTACCAATTATTTAAGAATTGTGTATTATTTATGTATTTCTATCTAAGAGTGAAATAAAGTTGTATTGTATTGTATTGTATTGTATTGTATTGATTTATTGTTCGTGTATTTCACCTCCCAAAATTTTGTGCATCATACCATGGATAATAAAATAAATGGATAGGAAACTAGCTGACGTGACCTAATGTTTTCAATGGACTGATGGCTTGATTGGATGTTGAAACCTAGTTGCAAATCAAATTCTCAAAAACGGCATGTTTAGCAATAATACAGCTAAACATTTTAGTCAAAGAGCAAATGAATATAACTACGCCATTCTGCGATGAAATCTCTAAGTATTCCCAGTCAATTTTAGCAAATATTTCAAGCACTAAACAGTGAAAAAGGCATCCCAAATTTCGTTAAAATTGGGGACGCCAATTTCGTTGCTACAAATGTAAAAAAATACAAAACAAAGACGAAAAACATTTACCTTGAATACTTTGTCGTGGCTTAGGCATGTTTTTAAAACAGTTAGACCGGTTTATGCTTCAATATTGCTCTTTTAAGGCGGAAAATATATCGAAACAACAAAAATCCATTTATTTTATTATCCATGATCATACTATAGAGCATTTTGCTGTTGTCATGCTCTAGCGTGGTTCAAATTTATGAATTTTTTTTATATAAAGTACAGTGTTTTATAGAGATTTCGAGCACTGATAAAAATGATAATCTCACATGTGAAATTATTCATGATAATCTCACATGTGAAAATTATCGCCTTTTCAATTATCGCTTTTCTGTAAAAATTATCGCTTTTCAAAGACTGTCCTTTATATAATAAACAAAAAAATACATGGGTGGTTGGAAATACCAGATTTATTTTTCGTGTTGAACATGATATCTCACTCGTTCGCTGCGCTCACTTGTTCGCTGCACACTCATGTTCAACACTCGAAATAAATCTGGTATTTCGTGCACCCATGTATTATTCTCTATTTAAACTACAACTTGACTGGTTTAAATTATTATCAAGTTATCAGTGATAGTAAAAGTTGCAGATAGAAGTGTTTTGTTTTATATTATTATCAAGTTATCAGTGATCGCAAAACCTCCAAATCCTTAATTTCAAATGTTAGAATGTTAGGGTTTGTAATCCAAGTGAGAATAAATACATTTTAAGACCTAACCAGGAACGACTGCGAAAAATGCAGCACAAGGTCCTCTGGTAGGAATTGAACCTACGGCCCTGCGATTCCGGTGCAGCACTCTAACCAACTGAGCTAAAGAGGCCAGCTGTTGAGCTTTAACCGTAAGTTCATGTATATTTAGGTAATCGGTTGTGTGGGTTGTGATAAGGTGGACTTCAATAATTTGGATTCTTGCACTTCACATGGTGGAATTAATATTAGAATGTTAGGGTTTGTAATCCAAACGAGAATATATACATTTGTATATTCTCACTTGGATTACAAACTATTCTCATTTGGATTACAAAATATATACACAAAATATATACATGTACTATACATTTGTATATTCTCACTTGGATTACAAAATATTCTCACTTGGATTACAAAATATATACACATGTATATATTCTCACTTGGATTACAAACCCTAACATTCTAATATTAATTCCACCAAGTGAAGTGCAAGAATCCAAATTATTAATTTCAAATGCCCCGCCGGGGCTAAGAGTGGAAATGCCCAACCCTCGGGACGTACTTTACAGGAAAATGGCTGCGCGAGGGGGATGGGCACACTTGGATTTGGCTGATGCATTAAGAGTCATGGAAAAAGAAAAAACTTTTCATATTGCTACTATAAAATGGCTTTTTGTGCTTATTCCTGTGCTTATACCAGACTGCTTGTCAAATATTTACTTGCTAGAAGTAGAAATTTACTCTGACCATTGGATGAAGAAGACATTAAATCAGTACTGGTCAATAAACAGAAATGTATTTTATTTCAAAGTATTACAATTTTATTTTTATACTATAAAAATAAAATATAAACATGCAGCATAGAATATGCAAATTCGAGGCAAAATTATTGTTGAATCGGTTTATTTATAGGATTTTATAACAAATAGCAACTATAAAAGTTTGTACCTTGTCTTCACATCGCTTCATCGCTTTTTTGCTATTTGTGATTATAGAAATCAGAACTCTAGACATGGTATTTAAGTTCAAAAACTTGTATGACCCCCCCTTTCGCTGTGTTAAAACTTTTTTGACTCCCCCTATTTATAAGGGTAAAACTTTGTTTGCCCCCCCCTCCCATTTCCCAATCCCCCTCCCCACAAGTACTGGTGTAAGACATTGTGCAACCTAAATAATAAGAGAACCAGTATTCAAAATGGTTGTATTTACTCTGACTCCTATCATCAACTGCATATACATAATAGACAATGGAAATTACGATTAGAGGAACTAAAAAAGGTGAAATATTTTCCAATATGATGAAGGCAAGAGATTGAAAATAAGTAGGAAAGTATTCAAAATTTGGGCTCGCCCCTTGTCACATATTTTGAAGGCACCCTCAATTCAGGAAAAAATATTTGAAGCCCCCCTTTACTCACCCACCTCCCTTCTCAGTGGCATAATGCTCACTAGGTTTAGTTAAAAAACTAAGGGCCCTCGACAGTCAGGGGCCCCCATCAACCACAGCCTATCACCCAGAAAATTAGAATGAAAACGTAAAAAATGCAGATTACGAATCGATGGAAAAATACAAAATTAATAATGCTAAATAATAAACCCTCCATCGACGATGGTATTCCATCTCAAATAGCTAGAACAAAAGTTATTCTTAAAAGCTAATTGTTACATGTGTTGGAGACTGTTATTGTTATAGACATAGAATTTTCCATTCTACTGATAAATATTCAATATAAAGATAAGATCTTAGTCAAACAATAACAGTCAACAGGGGCCACACCAAGGGGGCCCCATCTTCCTACATTACGCCATTGCCCCTCTCCCTGCCACCCATTATTAATAACCGGTGGTCCCTAATTATTCATTATATACATTTCATACAATTTCATATTATTTAATTAATATATACATCACACTATAAACAGAAAGTCAGAAACAAGTGCTAAATACTAACTGGTAGAAATACACAATAATGGAAAAAGGCTTTCAGTCAATTATCTGCCAGTATGATATTCGTATGCCTAGTATACGATGTTAAGATGGATATATCATCTTAGGCCCTGTTCATATGAGCTAGGCTAGCCTCCCTTGCCAGAATAGAAATTGTTATCATATGAGTCAGGATATTGGCAAACCAAGACACTGAAGATAAGCCTGGCTGGCCAGCTCGAGTCATCTAATGTCCATTTCATGTACTATATATGCATATAATCACTGCATAATCTGCAATAGCACAACATATTTCAACTTTTCATATTTTCATGCACTTAATAATATTAACAACATGTTAAAAACAGTTGACCAGGATGTCAGAAGTTAGGTGGATGCATTCTTTGGAGGCAACAAACCCAATAATTATTAACCCAACAATTTGTAACAAATATTTTATTAATTGACAACAATTATTTTATTATTAAATATTGATTATTTTAACAATTATTTTATTAAAATATTGATTCTCTTCATTGCTGAAATCTAACATTGATCATGTGGCAGTCCCACCTTATTCCTTTTTGCAGGCAAACAGGGATGAAACTTGAAGGGGAGAAGGGTGGTGACCACCCCCCAAGCTGGATTGGCAAGGCAAATCATCTGGATTGGCAGGGCAATGAAAGGTTTTAAATGGTAGAATGTAGAGTTACTAAGTAGCTTCCAGGGCTTGCCAACTTTTTTAGGAGAAATAGTGCCCCCAAAACATTTTTGCCGCAGGGCATCATCGGCTTTCGCAGGGCAATTCTAACAGACACCCCCCTCCCCCCAATTGAAATGGGCTAGTTTCGCCCCTGCAGGCAAAGAAGCATCCACCTAGCCTTTGACACCCTAGTCTGTTTTTAATGTTGTTAAAGAATGAGTCTCATAGTAATGCATTGCGCGCTTGAATGCCTCTGGCAGCCATTTTAGGGTGCACGGAAAATGGCGATGTTCATAGCCAAAAGAGTGTGAGAAAATCCGTGCCTATTCGAGCGATCTTTGCGTGATATTTCTTCCTTTTTTCAATTTTCGAACGGCCGTTTTTTTACTTCAACTATTGAGGGTTATCTTGTTATACTTATTATCATATTAGACGAAAACAATTATTATACTTATTATCATATTATACGGGTCATGGCTTCGCCTCCAAAGCGTGGACGGCCAAAAGATGAGATAGGGTTTGTGCGTATAAAGTTAAAGAAGGACGTTCACGAAATGTGGCTTGCAAGGAAAGAATCTATGGGCTTTTCTTCGAAAACACACAGTGATTTTGCCCGACACTTGTTGTTGGATTTTTCTGAAGATCTGACAAAGCAACCAGTGGAATCTCCAAGCCGTGGTAAGAAGAGCTTATTATTGATATCGACTCAATTGTAATTGCTAAATTCCGAATTATATTCAAGTTCAATTAATTTAACACAAGTTTGATCCTTTTTTAGATAAATCCATACCATTTGTGGCTGCATCGACACCAATTGGAAAAGGCATACCTGTAGATATGCCAAATTTATGTCTAACACCAATTGTTGATCAGAGGGACAATATGCAAGTCAAAATAACAAATTAAAGAAAATAAATATTGTGTCTTGGAGTGTTTCACCACGCAAACATGTATACTTTGATAATAGGTTAGCCTTGCCTTTCCACTAACTGTGGTTAATAGGCAAATTGCCTATTGGTGAATGTTTTATAAAGGTATTGTAGTCCAAAAATACTTCCTAATTTGAATTTGATTTATATTGATATTGTGTACTTTATTATAGAGCCACGAGTGTTGCATCAACATCAATGCTAGACAAAAGTAGAGTAGAAAGCATTTCAATATCGGAGAACCCAGAATTTGTACTCTATGCAGATGACCCAGGATTTGACAGCGATACATCAAGTTGTGAACATGGTAGCAAGTCAAGGTAAACATCATTTGGGCTTAAATTTATTATCATAAAATTTACTCCCTGAACAGCTGAATAACTTTGAATGATAGATGTTACTAAACTGTGGTTAATATTTATTGGAATGTATATGATACAGTACTGTATCTACTACTATGACTATGTATACCAACCTTTTAAAATACGCAATACATAATATTTCAAGAACATTTTATTAAGTGCAACTCAGTATTAAATGTAGTATCATTTTTTAACAGTTCATCCAGAAGTACATCAGATAATGAAACAGATGTTCATTTTCTTGAAGGGTAAGGACAAAAAATCTACCTTAGTTATAACCTTGCATTTATGAATGCCAGTAGATATAAGTGCTTGTATCTACAGTTCACGCATAAATCGATATAATGCAAAAGTTATTTTAGTTATCTTGTTTATGACTGATCGAGCAACAATGTGTTGTGAATACACTTTTAGGAAGCAACTCAACAAGCTATATGGTAATAGTATAGTTGTTGATTTGCAGATTTTTTTATATTTTGTGGGTTTTTAAAGCTCATTATATTATAGGTTTCTCCTTTCTTTAAGAATTTATGTACTTGATATAAAGTTTGCAAAAGAAAATCATATATTATTATTTATGTAGATTCTCGGATGAGTATGACCCCGAAGAAACACTAAGTGCCAGTGAAGATGAAGATGTCGTGGATCGGACAAAGTGGGAAGAGGATATGGATATCAGCAATGTGGAGGACCCTCCTACAAGTGATGGCCCCACAAAACCAGAGTCACTTGAACAAAGAAATGAAAGGTTGGCACAAGAAATGAAAAATGCATTTAGTGTGCTAAAAGGATTGGGAAACAATAGTGACTTGTTTGGTAAACATTTTAAACGAGATCGTGTCATTGTTGATGTGCCATTATTGCTGGAAACATTCAACAAAGGCTGCCAGCATTTATCCTGTCCTGGAGCAAGTAAAATACAAAACTCCAAAATGGAAGGTGGTGTTTTAACTGTTTCCTGGGAGTGCTCCAAAGGCCATATTGGATATTGGAGATCCTCCAATGTCCTGTGTCAGAAAAACGGACGTGATGTTTATACCAACTCCTTATTAATGGCAGCTGGTGTTTTCATTTCCGGAAATAATTTTGACAAGTTGTCTTTATTTAATGACTTTTTTGGACTTGGTTTTATTTCTAAAACCACTTATAATAGGATGCAAACACACTTTGTAATTCCTGAAATTACACGATATTGGGAGCAGATGAAGAATGAGATATGGGATAACCTGTCGGATGAATCTGTCATCTTGTGTGGTGATGGGCGGAATGATTCCCCATGGCACAGTGCCAAATACTGTATGTATGCAATTATGGAACAACATCTGGACCTGATAGTGGATGTGAAGGTATTTGACAAGCGTCAAACGAAAGGAATATCCACAAGTATGGAAGTCTTTGGACTCAAGACCATTTTAGAAAGAATGGTTGGCAAAATTATTATTTCTGAAGTGGTCACAGATGCATCAGCTGCCATCATTGCATTGGTTCGTAAGATGAAAGGTAATGAATGCTTAAAATTTTAAGTATAAACATGGATAAGTTTGTTTTCAGGGGGGAGTGATGTTACTTTTTAACGAATGAGTTTTCAAGACCTTACACAATCAACAATACAAACATTAAGTTGTCAGCGGAATTACTTTTATGTTTGTGCTGTTTGCTTCATTTCATTTGTTCCTTAATTGACATGGTCTATTCATCAACTCAGTTATTGTTACGATTCCCATGCAGGTTTTGTAGAATTAGGTCTACATGTTGTGTGCACTCTAGTCCTAGGCCTGGTATTGGCTTTTGCCGTAAAGATTTGCATCCATCACAGTGAGATGTTAATGTTAGAAAATAATTTTTCTTTGCAGAGAAACATCCAGAAGAGTTTGGCGAAATTTTTCATGCGCTAGTGGTCTAGCATAAATCAATTAAGCTGTCGAAGAAACTCGCCAAAGTATGTTATCATATTTCTTTTTCTAAGGGACTGGTCATTATTTATGGCAGGGGTGGGGGCCGAAGAGAAAGTATAATGAAGACGGAAAAAATCATTACCCCACCTTTTTTTAAACAAAATTTCTAGCTACCCCACCGGTGGAATGCCAGAAAATTTTTTTACCCCACCCGGCCCAAAACTATTTTGTTGCAATGTCAAAGGTTCAGACATAAAATATGTAATGAAACAGTTTAGTATTTTGTATGCATATTACTCATCAAGGTACAAAATTGCCCTTGATAAGATCATCTGCTGTTAGAGAGTAAATAATAATTGTTATAGGGTGCTTTGGCCATGCACAGTGGCCATTATAATTAAAAGGGAATAGGAGATTGGTAATACTTGTTTACCAATATCTCTTGCCCTTATTTCTTGTGGAGTAATTAAGGCTATGTTTACATTGTATCGGATCGGTTTTTGCTTCGTTCACGAAACGTTACGGCCCAAGTGTAAACAGCTTCCGCCCTCGCCCATCTAAATACAAAAATATTATAAGTGAGCAGGCTATACCCGCAAATAAGATTAGAATAGCAA